GCCCCTGGCTGCGCCTAGAAATTCTGTCCATAAAAATAATGAACAGAACCGGTGACAAAGGGCAGCCCTGCCGGAGTCCAACATGCACTGGAAACAAGTCTGACTTACTGCCGGCGATGCGAACCAAGCTCCTGCTCCGGTCGTACAGGGACCAGATGGCCCTTAGCAAAAGGCCCCGGACCCCGTACTCCCGGAGCACCCCCCACAGGGCGCTGCAAGGAATACGGTCGAATGCCTTCTCCAGATCCACGAAACACATGTGGACTGGTTGGGCAAACTCCCATGAACCGTCCAGTGTTCCACGGCCAGGACGAAAACCGCGTTGTTCCTCCTGAATTCGAGGTTTGAAAATATGCATACTCGATATATTTTTTTGATACCAAAGGGAGAAATCGACACCCTATTAAGGGCACAAAATTGATGTTAAAAAACAGTATAACGTGGCTATAACATGACAAAGTCCAACGTTATACAGGAAAGCATTCTTATAACATATCCTCTTAGTACTGGGATCAATTTGCGACCCTACTCTGGCCCTCCCTTACTACACATTCAATAGTGGTACGTTTGAGTGTGTGTATGCATATGAACACACCTACTTTTAAGAATATAAATGTTTGTGGGTCTGTGCGTACACTTGTGTGCGTGCATGTGTATGTGTGTTTGGATATATCTTTATGTTCTGTATATGAGTATGTGAATTCCTGTGCAGTGTATGTACACTATGTTCTTATAACATTCTGCCTTACATTATTCCTATTCTTTGTTTTAATTGTGCAGCAATTTCTAACAATTTTTAAAAAGTATTATATAAATAAAACATTATTAGTATTTTTCTTAGCCAGTAGCAGAGAACAGCAGAATGACTGAAGTAGACATTGTCACACATACTGTATGTTTAGGCACAACAGCATCTAGCTAAATTTACTAAATATTTTCCTATCTACTGAATCTCTGCTGCCTGAGATTCCTCGACCCTGATAGCTCTAAGGGTGGTGATTAGCTTAGTTTTGAGTCAACAACAGGACTTAGCAGTTTACTGGGCCTCTTTATAGATGTCGGTGTGTTGGTCATTCAGGTACATTACTTAATTAATTGTGCTAGTACCTTTTGTTAGCAGTGCTAACTGCTAGCTACTCTGTAGCATCACTGTAGTGCTCCAAAAGCCCTGTGCAGAGATGGGAGAGCTTGTTGGACAGACAACCATCTCTGCAGCACTGCATAAGTCAGGCCTTTATGACAGAGTGACAATATGGAAGCTACTGCTGACTGAAAGGCATATGAAGGCAGTACAAACCAAATACATAAAAAAGGATGCCTGCTCGTTTTAAGAATAGTAAACAATGAGCGCTGGTAGACAGTTAACCTTTACTGTGTCTGCCTGCTGCTTCACTTTCTCAGACAACATTGAGAAGCACTTTTATTTTTGCACTTTAATATCAATCTGAGAAGGATTTGGATATGGGCAGTAGTTTGTGTTTTTAAATTAGCTTTATTAAATAAAAGTGGAACATCAATGGAGCTCCTGTATATCTGTGACACATTAAACCAGATCCTAAATGAATCTTTCGTCTTTGTGTCAACAGCCAACTCGTCTGAACGTGATTAAGAACGACAATGAGAGCTGGGACTACACTAAACCATACCTGGTCAGACGAGGTAAACACACGCTGCCTTCCTCTGTTTCTCTTTTGTCTCTAATTAATACTTACATAAAAGTTAGACTATGGCCACTGGAGTGCATGGGCTGCTCCTGTATTTGTTTACAGTACAGGAGATCCTGTGATATGAAAGGTAGGAGCCCGGTTACAGCCTGAATTTTTTGTAGTGACACGTTACCCTCCGCTGCAGCTTTCTTTGATTCATGTTGCGCCATTAGATGAAAATGGTCTTCACCATCATTTGTGTCCAGCTCTTCAGTAATTATGGGTCAGTCTCCAACTGTGGATTTACAGTGTAGTCATAAACATTGTGGACCGTAGACCTCCATCACACCAAGACTTCTCCACCTCCCGTCTCTCCATCTCCAAACTAAACACTCACACCAGCCAGTCACCGAACTCTCATAAGCCTGCACCTCCGCTTACCATGGGAAGAGAGAGAGAAACATTGAGGGAGAGAGAGAGAACAGAGAAAAAGGGATGGACATCAGGCTGACCATGCACAGCAACTTTCTTCCATCTTCACTTCTACAACCCAGCAAAAAGAGAGAGGGAGAGAGATGGATCTCACTCCTGCTGACCACCATGCAGCTGCTGCTTCAACATGCCCAGGAGGCCTCAGCCCCACTTCTGTCTGCAGGACTCCAGTAGCACTTCCTTTTATAAATCTACTCCACCCCGTGTTTTTAATCTCCTCCTCTGTCTGGCAAGTTTTTCATGGCCTAATGTCTGGTCCACACAGTGTGATAAGCTTTTCAAGGCATCTAGATTCTAGATTTTACTCTCACTGGTTTGTGATGATGAAGCATGCCTTTCAGCAGATAGACGAAGATTTACTGTATATCCTGAATGAAGTTACTTGGCTTAAAGAGCTTTCTGGTTAGCAGTAAACCCTGTGGACCAGACATACTTGTTGTGGCCAGTCAAGTCTACAGTATGAAAGTCTGGCCTAATCTTTGCTTTCTCTCCTTTACTCCATCTGAATGAGGGCTGTCACGATATCAAATTTTCATTTGACCTTTATTGTGGCACAGAATGTCATAACAATGGTATATTCTTTGGTCGTCTTGCATGCACAGCTCTTTTAAGATCTACCCACAAATTTTCAATGATGTTTAAATCAGGGGACTGTGATGGCCATTCCAAAACCTTCAGCCTGCGTCTCTTGAGGTATTCCATAGTGGATTTCGAGGTATGTTTAGGATCATTGTCCTGTTGTAGAAGCCATCCTCTTTTCAGCTTCAGCTTTTTTACAGATGGTGTGATGTTTGCTTCCAGAATTTGCTGGTATTTAGTGGAATCCATTCTTCCCTCCACCCGTGCAATGTTTCCTGTGCCACTGGCTGCAACACAACCCCAGAGCATGATAGATCCACCCCCATGCTTAATAGTTGGCAAGGTGTTCTTTTCATGAAATGCTGCTCCTTTTTTTCTCCAAACATGCCTTTGCTGATTGTGTCCAAAGAGTTCTATTTTAACTTCATCAGTCCACAGCACTTGTTTCCAAAACGCATCGGGCTTCTGTAGATGTCCTGTTGCATACTTCAGACGTTGGATTTTATGATGGGGACGCAGATAAGGTTTTCTTCTGCTGACTCTTCCATGAAGGCCTTGTCTGTGCAAGCATCGCTGCACAGTGGAACGGTGCACCACCACTCCTGAGTCTGCTAAATCTTCCTGCAGGTTTTTTGCAGTCAAATGGGGGTTTTGATTTGTCTTTCTGACCAGCATACGAGCAGTTCTGTCCGAGAGTTTTCTTGGTCTTCCAGATCTCATCTTGACCTCCACAGTTCCCCTGATCTGCCATCTCTTAATTACATTTCTTACTGTGGAAACTGCAAGCTGACAACGCTTTGCTATCTTCTTGTAGCCTTCTCCTGCATTGTGGGCGTCAATAACTTTCATTTTCAGGGTCTTACACAGCTGCTTAGAGGAACCCATGGTTGCTGGGTGTCCACAAGTGTGTGCACAAGGTTTGAAGAGTCAAAGTATTTGTACAGCTTTGAAATTGGCATTTACCAATGACAGCTGTTGCTGTGCATCAGATCTAACGAGCTGATTAAGGTCTGATACCTTGTGAGAGACTTTGAGACTCTGGAACTCTTAGGGTGCCCAAACTTTTGCACCATGCCATAATAATGTTTTTATTTTTTATTTTTGTTCAATTTATGGCATAAGAAGTAACTATGCATCACTGTTTGCAGAAAATATTGTGCATTTTTTCCATTTCCAAGAGAAACTGTGTTAACATCTGTTCAAATAAAAAATCACCAAAATCTGTTATTTATCAAGGGGTGCCTAAACTTTTGCATAAGACTGTATATACAGTAACATAATATTAAGAACCACTCTGAAAACACTCATTTAGCTGTTTACTGTAAAATTCAAGCACAGTAGTGCAGTAGAGAAAGACAGTTAATTAGAATAGTAGCTGGCTGTAAATGAACCTAGGAGGCAGAGAATTTTGAGACTGTGTATGTGGCCTTGTTTACGTGTATGTACTTGTGGGGATGGAAAACTAGGAGCACACTGCTTTGCCGGGACTTGAGGCTGGGCTCTGTGACTAATTCATTGAATTTTACAAAAATGATGGGGTATAAGGTTAGAGCAAGTGTCAGCTTTGGTTAAGGCTATGGAAGGTATTAGGGTAAGAGTTTCTCCTGGAAATGAATGCAAGTCCATGTACAGACCATGTAAGTGATGACCACAAGGATGTGTGTGTGCGTGCCCCTGGTAATACTCGTTGTGGGGATTGAAACCTGTTTACACATACAGTATTTTGGGGACTTGGCCTTCATTATTGCGAACAGATGATGGTCCCCACCATGCATTGTAGGGTGATGACTTGGTTTAAGGTTTGGTTAGGTTAGGGTGAAGTTAGGGTAGGGTAATGGTTAAGGATAGGTCTGTAGACATTAACATTAAACAACAGACGCAAGTGAATGTAAGATTGTGCACCCATTTTAATTACATTTTTAAATCGCTGACTGTGACAGTATACACTCCTAAACTTTGTCTTTCCTGGTGGAATTCAGTCAGTTGCACATTATATTTAATTGGCGTAACAGTGGTGGGAAAGCTAGGTTGAAAGCCTAGCTTTGCAAGCATCCAAATACTTTACACTGGAAGAACCTGAGAAATGTAGTTTGCTTAAGTTACTTAGAAAAAGTAGTTCAAATTATTTGTAAAGAATGATCTAACTGGCAATGTGTATGTGTTACAAACTATAATACAAAACTCACATCAGCAAAAAAAGCCACTCACTTGAGTTTATTTATTGAGTTTATTAGAACTGGGCTTTTCACAGTCACAACATTGTGACACAAAAATGACAGAAAAGTAAGAAATGCTATGTAAATATGAAGGTAGTTGAACTACCAAGAAACTGCTGCAAAATGTATTTGAACTACTAGTTTAATTACATATAGTTTACTAATGGAGTGGTGTCATCACCACGTTTGTTTACACACAATGTTTTATGTTATCTGTAGACATCAGCGGCAGCCTCTCATTGTAGGCTATATTTTATTTAGTCACAATTAGAAAGTAAATGATCTGTGTGAGTGGGTGTGCTGTGTTAGGAAACCAAATTCAATCTAGCCTGAATAATAAGAGCTATTAACTGTATTGTTTGACTAAATGGCACAACATTGTTCTTTATGCTTTTGTAAATACTGTGATAATAGTGAAAACCAGTATATCGTGACACCCCTGATCAGAGTCCCCTGATTACAGTAGCTGTACATTGAGGTACATGCACAGATGTGCCGTTCACATTGTTACATTTCAGCACCTCACTAAAAAAGAGGCCAGATGCCTGTGTCGCTGACAGTCTCTGCTATCTATGCATGGCCATGTGTACAGTGAACTACTACAAATGCTGCACTCTTTGAACTGTATTTAGTGTGTAGCTGAGGATTATTTCTGAAACGTTTTATACTATGTGATAAGATCGATGTTGGGGTCAATTCCTTCTTTATGCAGTCAGTTCAGGAAATGAGGTTAACTTGCAGACAACATGAATCTAAATATCTGTGACATCTAAAGCTTCTTTATAGTGCCTATTAAAAACTATGTTTATTAGCTAAGGCCCTGCTCCTTTTATATTTTGTTCCGTTTTCAGAGGCCAAGGATAGTGAACATGTCCAGTCTCTGTTTACAATAGTAGTTAAGTGAAGTGGCATGAAAATCATGGTCACTTTTATGATTTTAATAATATAAACCTTTTTGCAATGACCCAAGGGCCTTTTGTGTAGTGCCACCTGCAGAAGAAACTTTGATGGGCTACTGTGTATAATGAAGAGTGAGCCTGTATAACTCACTAATGCAGGCTTGGACCATCGTGTTTTAAAGTGATTCATGAAACTGACAGCACTGTGAACTGGCTCCAACTGTGTCATAGATGAAATATTCTCTAAGTAGATACATATCTACAGTGTTTTATGTGCAATGGAGGCACATTGTAAGGACACAACACAAGTCGTGACTGACTGTTGTCTCTGAGTAGCAACGGTGATCACTCTTCACATGTTTTATTAGAAGGACTTAGAGTTTATCACAGACAGAAATGATAGAGAGGAGAGGTGAGTCTTCACATGTTTTATTAGAAGGACTTAAAGTTTATCACAGACAGAAATAATAGAGGGGAGAGGTGAAGCATGTATAACAGTTTGTTAAATATTTAAACATTCTAACCAAATGCATGGTATTATGTTTATTTTCTGCAAGTGAGAGACATTGGAAGATATTTAACTAGAGACAAGTATATTCTTCACACCAGAGGTTAGCAGGCGTCTCCACCACAACACCAGACAGGATCAGTCTGTGTTGTGCTTCATAGATAAACTTGACCAGTTATCCACCTCCCACTGTGTTCAGCAGCTGAGCAGTACTACTGCATTTATGGGAAAAAGGGTTATAAAGTTTAGTGTTTCCACAGGGGGTTGTGTAAAAACTAATTGTCCTCAAGTCATGTTACCTGAGTCAGTCGGTGAGTGAGCTCAACAGACTTCTGTCGCCCTCTGTTTGTGCTTTGGCTCCAGCAGAGCAGTTAAGATGCAAGAGTTGTGACACTGAAAGGTCAAAAATGGCAGCAGGTCAGGTGACTCGTGGAGCTTCAGAGAGTTCCAAATAGTTGATTAAGATCCATTGTTTTCTGCAGGGAATAGTGGGATTTATCAGCAATTACTATTTTTAACGACTTGTACAGCCTTGCAAACAAATTTCGTGTTCTGTTGTTGTAGATAGCTCAGCTAATTTAGCTAGTTAGCTAGGTTCCTAATTATTAAAGTAACCCAGTTTTAGAGAGGGAGTCAAAAAGGTTGTAAATCATGTTTTGAAACATGTCTCTAACTTAAATGTCACGAGTATGATTATTGCTATTGAGTTGAAACATGTCTCTAACTTAAATGTCATGAGTATGATTATTGCTATTGATTTCAGCTTCTTACTTTGGAAAATAGCAGACAAGTCAACATAACTCTGTGGCACAGCTACTATTGTTTGGTAGTATTCGACTTCTCAGTGATCCACCATTACTGTAAAAAACAGTCAGTCAGTGGAGATGTTGCCACACTCCTTCCTAATCCACTGTGGGCATTGTAAAACAAGTCTCCATTCACACTACATTGGCTCATTTTCTTCTGCATATAGTAGTGTTAGTTAGAGACCGCAGAAGAAATGTCAACTGCTGCTGCTGACTGCAGCATTAATCACCAATAATAAAGAAGTTAATACACTCTACCGACACTTCTTCATGACAAGGATCGACTATTGACGTAAACAAGTACAGACTTTGGCTTAAAAGGTGCCAAGTTCTGTGCATAGAAATAAACCTTAGATGAAAATTTAGTGTCTTTGTGTCTTCTTAGCTTCCCTAGTTGAGAGAAGTAGACCTCATGGTCAAAGTGGTTTCCGTTAACCTAGTTTTAGAGTTTGCACGCGTTCACCATGCTACGGCAGTTCTCTCAGCCAAAGTAAGCCTATTGTAACTTTATAAAACATTATAACAGCATAATTGAAGAGCTGGATATTCAGTGATAGCTTTTTGTCTCAGTCGGTTATGTTCATTGCAGTAAAGATCAAAAAGATCTTGGTAGCTGATAGGTACACCAGCGTTCAGCTGCCCCTGTGACTAAGCAGGTTCTTGAAACATGCAGCCTGATTGTACAGTATGTGCTGCTAAGCTGTGGTGTGAAGGTCAGTGAGGATGGCTATCTTGCTATTTTGATTCTCCATGCTTTCTCACTTTTCACTGCTGTAGTATCTCTTCTCTAAATGTATCTCTCTTCAGGACACAAGGCAATTGCATGCATCACTACTCTGCAACATAACTGCTGACCTGTGTGTGTGCAGTGGGGGGGTGCTGACACAGGCCTTAAGGGGGAAAAATCATGTCAATGTGCCTCCATTGTAGTGTATAGCTTATATGTTATGTATATATA